TAAGTGATTGCTATCTATAATTCTAATATATATATATATATATATATGTTTTAATATCAAATTTTATTTTTTTTGTTGGAGAATAGAAAAGAGATTGTCAAATTCTAACTTAAAAAAGCAAGTTATTGTTAAGAAAAATTTAAATCACTAAAATAATTTTTTTTTTATCAAGATGTTTTATAAGATGAGGGGTTATGATTAGGTGTTTTTTACCTTGACAACCCCTAAAATTATATCTAAGTTTTTTTAAAAAAATTATTTCAGGTTTATTTTAGATTTTAAAATGGTATTTTGTGTTTTTAGATATCATGAATTTATTTATCAATATTTTAGAGTGTTTTGGATCAAAATAAATTTAAATAAATTTTTAAATAAAAACAAAAAAAAATATTTTTCTAATGATATGAGTGGTTGGATTCTAAGAATAACAAACTTTTTTTAGACAAAAAATAGGGTTGTACGCCCCCATTCACTTCAATAAAAAAAAATATCTATAAGTTTTATTTAAATTTAATCTTCGTACTCTTCCTTCTTCTTTTTTATTAATATCAAAGACTTCTATTCTTTTTATATTGACCGACACCCTCTATTTTTCCTTTTTAATTAAACGAGTTCCTTTATCACACAAGATTAGTTTGTATTAATGGAAGAGGCTTAGAAGGAATGAAGTAATGAAAATGTAAATAAAAGTTCTATTTTCACTTTGTTGGTGTTTGATATTAAAAAAACGAAGTGACATTTATAACGAAGAGTTAAAATAAAAATAAAATTAAACAGGATCCCATTCCTGATGGGAGAATAAAAACAAGAATGACATTGACAATTTTTTATTTTATATTATTTTTATATATTTTATATTAATTATTATTATTACTACTATTATTATTATTATAATAATAATATAATATATGTATATATATTAGTTTGCTATCATCAGTCTACCACCACTCTTGCATTATTACTACTTTTAAGCCCTATTTATTTTTGTGGTGTAAAAACATTTTAAAAAAATAAAATATTTTTTGTTTTAAATTAATATTTTTTATTTTTTTATTATTTTGATGTATTGATATCAAAAATAAATTTTAAAAAATAAAATATTATTATTTTGATATATTTTAAAGTATAAAATACTTTAAAAAATAATCACTACTACACTAATAAATTAGCTCTTCTTCTATTATTACTTTCCATGATTATTATTATTATTATACTATCTATTATTCCTACCACTACATTTTCCTTTGTATTTTCACCACCATCATAATCACCTTTCATCATTTTTACTTACATTATTACTAATAAAATTATTATTTTTTTAATATTAAAAACTACCCATTAAAATTTTTAAATTTCAATTTGATTTCTTGTTACTATCCAAACATAGTATTGAAAATAAAATATCATTTTAATTCTCTGAAGTTTTATTTTGATTCCTCCATTCCCATAGTAAAATCTTTCATTTTCAAAAACCACATAATGTCTGCGTTGAATATCTGATGACCCACACTCTAAGAACTTTTCTATTTTATTTTTAAATTCTCTTATTTGAGGTGAAAATTAAATGATTAAATTAAAATAAGTAAATTTTCATGTTTTTATTTTTTTTATTTCTTTGATCACATAATTTCAAAATGAAAGAGTTAGTCTAACAAAAGTTATTATGTGGGCAATACGAACTCAAGATATCATAACATAAAACTTTTATGAAATAAAATAAACAATAAAAAAACACAGTTAATACGAAAAGAAGGTTTCAATAAAAATAAAATGAAAGTATATGTATTTAAAAATAAAAAAAACTAAGACCCGTCAATATTTTACTGTGGATCAAGACTTGGATTACTGTAATATAATGGTTTTTTTGCCCTCCACGTTAAAAATCAATGAGAGGCAAAAAGGTTTTTTTATAAGGTTTATTTAGTATTATTAAATTAATCACAATTAAATTAATATTTTTATTTTTTAAAAGAGTAAAATAACTTAATTATTCTTAAAAAAATTAAACTAGCCTCCAAAAGGCTTCTTAATCTTTTCATCTTTTTCAAAATAATCAAATGACTAAATTGTCATTTAAAAAAAATTTAATAAACTTAGTTTCACGAGCTTTTTTATATTTTTTTAATGGTTTTTTTTATTATAATCAAGTAGATTAAATGATGATTTGACAATTCAATAAATATAAGTATTATAAATAAATAAAAAAACCAACAACTAGACACGTGCGTTACACTCGTTAATATGTAGGTGGTGCCCACTCACTCTGTGTGATGTGCTCAACATCACTCGGCAAACAAACTCAAGCTTTCAAGGCGGTGTTAAAATTTCCTTAACGACCCCTCCACGTCCGTGCAGTGCATGTGTTAAACATACATCAAACAATCTTTTTTTTTTTCTTTTCTTTTTCATCCTTGATTTTTACGTTAAACCCTCTAAATTTTACAAAGCAGTCGTTTAATTTGTTTTTGCTTTAAATTTGATATATTTTATTTTTATTACTATTTATTTGATTTAAAATAATTTATAATTTTTTTTAAATTCACTATTTTTCAATTTTTTTAATCTATTGTATTTAATTTTTTATTTTTATAATTACTATTTTTTTGTTTTATTATTTTCTTGATTTTTTTTAATGAATAACAAGAAATATATTAATTATTCAATTGTTATAGCCATTAAAAACATTGCTCAGCGGTTACAAGAGTACAAAAAAAACTCAGTGGAGTAAAATGTTTTACTGACAAAACTAAACACACAATCAGGATTAATTTCTTGATTTGTTTTATTTTTTATTATATTTTTTATTTTTATATAAAATTTTATCCTCTTTTTATCATTTTCTTGTTCTATTTATAAAATTTTATAAAAACATCCCTCATTGTTCTATTTAATTTAATTTTTATACTAAACTTGATTCATATTTTTTATTGATATTTTTTGTTTTTTAATTTTAGATAATTAAAAAATTTTCTTCATATTTTTTTCATGTTTGTTTTTTATAGAATAACTCAGTCTCATAATTTATGTCACGGTTTCAAAAGTTAGCTTGATTTTTAAGGTATTTTTTTTTAATTTTATTTTTCAACATTAGGTTATTGGGCTTTTAGTTTCATGATTTTTTTTTATAGAGCTCTTTTAATATCATATCTTGGGTCGTGAAATAGTTAATTTAATCTAAGTTGACTTAAGATTTTTTTCAATATTTTTTTCAATTTCACCTTGTATTATTCTGTTTGCTTGAGAGTGGACTTCTATTGTTTCATTTAATTTTTTTTATATAGGGTTATCATAACCTCACAAGTAGGTCATGAGCTTAACTTGTTATTCAGAGTCAAATTTTTTTGTTTTTTTTTTAATTTTAATTCATACTTCAATGTTTGATTTGCTGGTAATTATGTTCTGAATTTTTTTTATTTTTTTTTTATAAGATTATCTTGTTCTTACTTTTTTTTTCATTGTTATCAAATAAAATTATTGACATCTTTTAAAAATATTTAAAAGATATCCTCTCATAATATTGATAAGCATGAATTTTTTTTTATTTTTTTATTTTTTGTTATTGCTAGCTTTTTTATATCTATAAATTAAATTAATCAACCTTATTGAATTATTAGAATCAATGACTCGCACCCTAAATCTTTCTTACTCTTAAAAATATTATCAGCACCTTACTATTTGTTTTTCACTTCAAGAAAAAAATTGATTAAGTCTGAGACATAACATGAACAAGATCAGACACAGTATGATCTTTCATCTAGGTAAAACACACATAAATTAAATGGTCAAAAAGTTGATTTAATTCTTCTGTTCCTTATAATTTATTCGTTACAAAATTTACTAATACCCAGCATAACTCATAATCAAATATATATGAATAATAACAACACTAGCATCCGTTTCGTTTTCTTTACCAAGAAGTCCTCAACCTTGCTGCCCATAAATAAATAAAAAAAGCCCATATTTCATACCAATTAATTCGAATTGTAATTAACTTAATTAATTATTGATTAATATATTTGACAATTAAAAGCCCCCTAATCTTATTTTATCAATTTCTTGCTGCTCATCTCTTATTTATAATTCGAATTTTAGTTTCTATACTTGATTTATACAAAATCTCTCACGGTAAAGGCCAAAGGGCGGTCCATAAGGTAATTAAAGGGCTACCAGAATTTCATAGTCACAGCACAAATGTATACAAACTCAAGACACCAAAAGCTAAAAGGCATACTAAGAATCTCTTTTTAGTATTTACCTCTTTTGAGTTGGCAAAGAGAAGGTTAAAGGAATTTCTTGAATCGTAGGGTAAAGAACAAAACGATGCCATGAGACACGAGCTATATATATCTTATAACGTGAATGTGATGGGCTGGAAGTAAACTATGAGGTGTTAAATATACAACTTAGTCCTTATAGTTTATCAAGAATAATTAAATGATCCTTTAACTAGGGTTGACCATCCTCATTGCTCCTTCTTAATCTTCTTAACTTCTCAAAAAGTAAGAATAAAAAAGTAAATTAAAAAGAACAGGAGACTTACAAGAGGACTATGTTACGAGCAAATTGAGAGCTATTAAGATTAAATGGATAGATTTTGAAAGCACAAGGACTGATTTAATAGTTTCTTTGAACTACAAGGAGTACATTATAATTCACTTTTTAATATTATCGCCACGATATTAATGAAAGTGTCGTGTTGCCATTTCATTGGAAGAGAAAAAGGTTTTAGTAAAAAGATGTCATCAGGTTCAGATTGCTCAGATGCTACTCAAGAGCCCTTGATGAACAAACCCTTAGCCATGCGTTCCCAGTCTTTCCATTAAAGCATAGCAACATTGTTCTTCTCTACTTGTTGCATGAGTGAAAATCAATCAATAAAAGAATATAAATTGAACAATCTTGTTATAATGTTTTGTGCCCTCTTGTCAGTGCCCTTTCCTTGATGGCTTCAGCAAACCTGTTACCCTGGTAGTATCACTAGCTAGTGTGTCTGTGTGTGTACCTTGTCAGTGGCTTTAGTTCTCCCATTAGAGCATGAGGAGGCTGGAGCTGTGTCAAGGGCGGCTTCAATTATACGTATGAACGCGATGCCGGAGGCTGAACAAATGTCATTGAGAAGGTTCCTCCTGTGCTACTTTCTGAAAGTGACAGGAAATGATGCATTGCTTCCTGACAAATCTTAAATCATAGTTACTTAACTACAGAATAAATTCGTTTTTAATTTAAAGTTATCCTCTGATTGAGCCTCGAAAACTGTACAAGCCACGTAAAAAGGTTTGAGACATCCTTGTGGAATTCATCATCATCATATAGAGAAACATACAACGAAGTGAGAGTTACAAAAATGGCATCCACTGCTGTTACTACGTTCATAGTTTTCATAGCAGTCTTATTCTTGCTCGTGAACAGCAGTGCTGCTCATTACATCCCATGTAGTGAATCTCTCATTACGATAGCCCAGGAAAAAAACATTTCACACTGCAAGAAATTGACCACTCTAGGAGCTGAGTTTGGATGGGAAGTCAGTAAACACAACGAGAGCCAAGTTGACATTCTCATTGGCACAAAGCTAAATAATGCAGAAATGGTGTGGCTAGCCTGGGGTGTGAACCCAGAGGACAAGCCACAGATGGTTGGAACAAGAGCAATAATAGGCATCAGGCAACTGAATGGCTCACTCGGTGCCAACACCTATAATATCACAGGTGATACCAAGCTAGGTTGCAAGCTACAGCCTTCAGAAATTGATGTCCATGTTACGAGTATGAAATTAGATTATGTGACATCATTAGACTACCTCACGCTATATGCAACAATTGTACTTCCTTCAATGTACAATATTTCAAGACTGAATCATGTGTGGCAAGTTGGATATGATGCCCAAGGAGCAGAACCCTCGATGCATCCCACAGCTCTCCAGAATGTTGACAGTACAGAAACAATAGACTTGAAGAATGGATTGGCTCATCATGTGGGAGAGTTCGAGGGTCGTCTCAGAAAGGTGAGGATTAGCTAGAAATAATAATATTCATGCATAAATACACACACACATGTAGCTAAATCATTTCTTCTGATGATCAGATTCATGGCGTCTTGAACATTATAGGGTGGGGAACCTTCTTGCCTGCTGGTGTGATAATCGCAAGATATTTCCCATATCCATTAGCACTCGGAAGTTATAGGTATCATCTTCATGTTGGCTGCCAAATTATAGGGTACAATCTTGGTGTAGCTGGGTGGAGCGTTGGCCTATGGCTAGGACAAGCTTCTAAACACTACTCCTTTAAAATCCACAGGCTTTTTGCCATATTTATATTCACCTTCACAACATTACAAGTAAGCCTCTTAATTACTATTCACTAATTACCCATGTATGAAGGTTCATCATCATTGACATGAATTAATTAAATACTCCATAGTTGATATAATTAATTGCAGATGTTGGCATTGCACTTGAAACCGCGTAAAAGGGACGAGTATAGGAAGTACTGGAACATGTACCATCATTTTCTGGGCTATGCTCTGCTTGCCGTGATCTCAGTAAACATTTTTCATGGCATTGACATCTTGAAGCCCGACCACTCCTGGAAATGGGCTTACGTTGGAATCCTTGGGGTGTTTGCTGTCATTGTTATAGCTCTTGAGATCTTCACTTGGGCCAAGTTTCTTACCGAGAATAAAGAACATAAAACCGGTAAGCCGGAATCTGGATCTGGAGGGACTGCTGCTGCTCAAACTCAAACCACCACCCCTTGAAAGTCTAGCCTATCTACGAGATTAGAGTCATCAGGTTCTTAACCATTTGCATATTCTACTTAGACTCCGTTTTCCTTTGTCCATTTTGACTTTCGGATACACCCCTTTGTTGCTTGATCCTTCTGTATTGTGTAGTCATAAGAAATTGTTGTGATTTTGGAACAACTGCCATGACATTTTAGTTTCTTGAATAAGCTGCCATTGATTTGCAAAAGCATTTAAATAGATGTATGGTTAATGAACTACTGTCAAAAGAGAAAGCAACCACCCTATCTCACGTTCCCCTGGCTAAATTGATTTTTCTACATTATTTTGGCTCAAACTGTGGATGCTTAATGGTCAAGAGTCATGAACGAAGAAGCTACATGGAGCACGCTGTCGTATTCTTTTCCAAGGATCTTTCAGAAACCGGCTTCCTCAACCGCGTGTGACGGTGAAAGGAGCACATCAGTTTGCGGCAATAAAAACTCATGGAAGCCGCACAAACCATAAAAGGGGTTTTCTCGCACTAGAGCTGGTGGAACTGGAAGCTCTTACCATGGTCATCGACCAGACAATAATCTAAGAAACAAACTCAAATTTCGGTATAACTATATGGCTAAAACAAAAGAAAATTTAACTATATACACTTCCAAATGCATTTATATGATTAAACTCAAATTTCGGTACAGCGTTTCTGCTTCCCCGCGGAGCAAACAACCAGGTTTCTTCAAAACTGTGACTGTTGTATCAGATTTGCCTACTATATTGAAAAGAGAACAAGCTTACAACAACCAAATTCGTGATTCCTATTCTAGGTCTAGAGAAGAGAGATGCTTAATTCATGAGCCTTGGAGCCTTGAGAAAATGTACACTCTTTACAAACCCTTTACCAGCTTCACCTACAGCCTTTAAGACATCAATTGGGTCTTCATCGTCACTGGCTTCCTCTCGATCCCGCTTCTGGGAGAAGTAAACAAACTCAAGAGATAAGGTGAAAGTATTTGATAAGATTTCTAAGCTGTTCCAGAAGAGATTGAATATCATTAGAGGACACTATTAGAGGACATTTTGAGTGACATTCCATTATACCTTTGAACAAGATCTCTCCCATGTGAGTCCAATTGCGTCGCCTCCCAGAGAATCATACCACATCTTCAATGTGCTGCATTCTTTCTAAAGATGTTCAGGGAGAGTAAGCAAATTAAGAGCAACATGGTCAATTTGAATAACAAAGCATTTCAGAACACTTGCCTCCAGATCTGCAATGTAGCACCTAAGTGGATCAAAGTCCACCAATAGCTTATTTTTCAACTTGTCTAAGCTGCCTCGTAAATCTCCAGGTAACATAAAGGGCTGGAAAGCTTTGCTAGCATTCCCACGAGCCACAAGCCTCCCTGCCCAATATGTGCAATAAATTACAAATTTCAGGCAAGAAGTTAATACAAGAATCAGACAGTAGCCAAGCCAAACTCAGGGATCTTTGTAGGAACATACCATGGTTTAATTTTGACGGGAAGAGAAGACGTTGAGGATATGGTAATCTGTCCCCATGGAGAAGGATTACAGCATCATAGTTGGTAAGAGGAGTGCGGAAAAGGCACTGTGATAAAAAAATAAAGCCATTAAAGTCAAAAGTATAAGGCGGAAGAGTTAAAAAGCACTTTGAAATTAACTCACCTCCCATCTGTAAGATTCTGTCTGATCCTGAAATACGAGTCTGGTAAGCAGGTTTGCACTGCTACGAGCATAAGCCACCAACCTTCTAAGTTCCTTTGGATTCAACAAACCCACATGTCAATAAAGAATATGAACAGGGAACTGCCTAAGATAAATTAGAAGTGATTTAGCACATCTGGATATGATTATGAACTCAATGTAACCTTGGGGTAGACCTATTGGTAATAGTTCATTTCCCAATGCTTAATAAAGATATTATAACTTTTTACTAACTACACGCAAGTCAAATGAAATATCAAAACATAAGAGGATCAGACCAAGGTGTAAACAACATTAACAGATGGCCAAAACAGCCAAAAGCAGCTCAGGAAGGAAGGGGAGGAAAAACAATCAAAATCAAAAGGAAACATTTGCAAAACTTGCAAGCACATACAATAAAAGATTTTCTCATAAAAGATTATATAGCCCGAGTTTTATTGGAGAAATCACTAACCAGTACGTTTGGTGAGAGTCTGGTCCAAGCTTCAGATGCCTTGTCATAGGATGTCGCCAAGAACATTGCTGGACTTATGTTTTGGCTACTTTCTTCATAACCTTTTCTAGTCAGCATAAACTTGTCCTGGATAATGTTATAGAATTAGCAGCCATAGAAAAAGAGAGCAAAATCACCGAATAAAAGAATTAAAGAGACCAGCAAAAAGCAAACGATCATTACTTGATTGCAGAACTTAATGTAAATCAAACAATAAGAGACCAAAAAATATTAAACAATCATTACCCTTGTGCAGAACTTACATAAATCTCTTTCTTATCACTTGGGTTGAAATCATTATTTATGTCAACAATAAGAGGAGAAAAGGTCCAATCATACTCTGCTAGCAATCGCAAGAACCTGTTATGAAAATTTCAAGGACATGGATCATTGACCAACAAAAATAGATCCCAGAAACAAAAATCCATCATGGTTTAAGGAAAAAAGCTCATAGAAAACAGACAGCAAATTCCTTCTTCATCTGAAATAATTGATTAATAGTCAAACAACAAGTTTGTAGGAGTATAAGTTTCAACCTTAGAAATCCAGTGATGCGTGAACAAGGAGCAGTGAAAGGCAAAGGCTTCACAAAGAGATGTGCGACCAATAACTCAATTGCCTCCTCTGACAAGCATGCCGAGAACATATGTGAAGCAACCCATCTTTTAGCAAGCCTTTACAGAAAGTCAAGCAAAACACTTTAAGAAGGCAATTAACATACTAGCAAGTAAATAGAACAAAGCCGCAGATTCATCACTAACCTAACAACTGGCCCATATATTGGGAAAACACCTTGCAACCCATTAATCATGCTAGAATGCTGACTGCGAACAAAGAGTTTCTGGTCTGCAGAAGAGACCTGTTTTCCTTGGTCACTTCCAGCTAGAAATCAGACTGGGTTAGTAATTTAAATATCAAAAATATCTAGCCAAACAAATTCATGTACACTGAAACTTGCTTACTTTCTCTTTTCACCAAGCTCAAGCCTCTCTCGTGCAAAATTTTTAGACGAAATGCATATCCAGACAGAAAAACATCCACGTCATCTTCAGTCGCAGTACATGTCATCCCCCAACTATTCTCGAGACTGCCATAAATTCATGATCAGCTACTACCATACTTTCACAAGTATGATTATAAATTGCATAAAGAAGCCACAATCACCCACCTCTCTCCAATTTTGAGAAGAAAAGCAGATTTGGTTTTCTCAATTGCCACATCATCCATTGGCCAGTTCCCAGAACCTTCCAACTGAAAACAGGTTTAAGATGCTAGTTTGATGGAAAATGATATAAAACGTATGGGTGGACAACTAGGCACCATACCTGAATCATAACTTCCAATGGCTGGATGCAGGATGAAGTGAGCTTATGTGGTCTTGGAATGCTAGCCTTTTCACTTGCTAGTGCGTGTGGTTCAGGAGGGAAGACAGATGTGAACCTGAAAGCTGGAGAGGTAACAAGCAAAATTGAATTTCTACTAATTGCTAGCATTTATGCAATAATAATTGTTGCTATATATTAGCATATAATTACAGCAGGGAAAACCATCTAACAATGATAACAATATCTTGGATATACCTGGGTCTAAAGGCTGCACGCTGGACACCTTCAAGGGAATGTCTTCTATAAGACGCAAGCGCTTTGATAGGACATCAAATGCCCCAAGCAAACTTGAAGAAAATGACATAGGATCTGACAAAATAGCATCATTTTTAAAAATTATAGAATTCTGTGTGAAAAGGTACATTGCAGAAATAAAGGAGAAAAAAGGGGAAACCAACTAACAGTAAATGTTTAATCTCATCACCTTCAACACCATGAAGAAGAGAAAAGTCAAGTTGATCCACAGTTTGCTCAATACTGGTTTTTGATATAGAAAGATGACGAAGAAGTGTATATTCTACTATTCTTTTTAAAATGAGATGTTTCATCCACTGCTCACTTTCCCATACTACATAAAAATTGGGACAACAAAGTCATGATAATCATCATGTTGCAAGTAAGTTCAATCCAAGAAGCCAGGACGAATAAAGAGCCTCACCTGTGCTTTCAGCAATTTTGCCATCCTTAAATCTCCTGAGCTCTGCTTTCTCTCCCCAAAACTTCCGAAACCTGGCAGCCTAGTGCATAACATGAAAAAATCAGTACATTGGAATCCCTTCCTTCAATTAATTGAAAGTGGATGCAATAAAAAGTTAATATAAATTTCAAGCAGGGAATTCAAATACCTCTTCTTTATTTTCAGCATCCGGACCAATATCAACAACTCGAAATGCTTTATCTAAAGAGCTTAGAGAAATTCCAGCTAGCAATGGTTCTCCATCAAGTGTTGACAAACCCTAAAATAGATAGTGATTAAAGCTAGTCGAAGAAATGAAACAAATATGATCTCAAAATTAGAAAGAAATAACAAGAACATACATTTTCCAGACTGCAACCTGAAGGGATATTTCTCCAAATAACACGAATTGACTTGGCTCGATCACTCAGTCCCTGAGATAGAAGACTCTGCACCTTTTTCTCATACAATCTCCAACATTCTTCATCCAAGCAATATCCAGAAGAATAGAACTCATTATTTCCTTTTAAGCTCAATCTAAAAGGCCCAGAACATGTAAAAATTAAGGGCAATGAAGATATAGACCAGCATAAGTAAATGTTAGATCAAAAGGCAAAACAATATAACACATGCATCATTGAAAAAGACAAGCATTTCCCATGGCAATTGTACAGAAACGCCAAAGAATTTATTTCCATTCACCATTTCATTTCTTGTATTTCAATCATAATAGTTTCCTATTTTATTGAATACCTGAGATATTCTCTGCTCAGACTTCCAAAACTTTTATAAATGCCCACAATCTTCACCAGAAATCATTCTGGAAAAGTATGATGGTGTGTTTGCAACAAGTTTCTCAATTTTGATTTATTCAAGAATAAGAAAGTCATTTTTTCCTCAATCCAAGTGGGGCCCACTAATAAAAACTCATGAATGAGAACTCACAGCTTCTTTGAAA